AGAAAATATGAAAGCTATGAAATTGCAGACTAAACCTAGTTTAGCTTTCTCTCCCTGGAGCAGTCTCCATTTCCTCTTGTTTCAAAAACATGGACTTTATACAATACTACACCTGTAGATCGACCTCTCGGGATCTTCTCCTCTTTAGGCACCTGAATCTTCTTCTCTTTTGTCTTCTGGAATATCACATTATTTTTAGAGTTATGCTGGGTCCCTTTTGGATCTGAAGGCAGCAATTCTGAGACATAGGAAAGAAGTCGAGACAAGCCTTAGAAAAGGCTAATTTTTTCAGAAAATCTTGTTCAAAGAGGCAACTAAAAACAACCAGTGTTGCACACCTTGTCCTAAGTATGCCCCAGCCAAGAACTCTTAGCTGGCTTTTAAATTCAACACACTTTTGGGAAGCTTGGGTGTGACATTACATTCTCCTAGTCCTAATGCAATAGCTGACATCTTGTTGCTCAGCACAGTAAGTCACACTGGAATAGACCCATTTGAATTAATGAAACTCACGGAGGAGTTGATTCACACACCCCCACTGATTCAGTGGTCCTAACTCTAGTGTGATTTAGTACATTAAGCAACAAGATGTCATCCAAAGCCTCACCTGATTGTTCTTCCCACAATATCCCATCTCAGTAAAAAGATGGTTCCCCACATCTTTGTTACAGCACATTAAATTAGTCCTCGTGGGCAACTTCCTCCTCAAGCAGTCATCCCCTGAAAACAGCACAGAGCTTGGACAAGTTCCTAGCAGATGTAATACAAACAGTAAATGTTTTCAAGCTTTGGATACTACTGCCCATTTGGTTAGATCAGGCCTCATTTTACTCAAAAGCATCACAATTAAGTAAATTCAGCTCAGGAAGCCACCAGCATCCTGAAACAGAAACAAAATCCAATAAAACTGCAGGGCCATCCCTACTGTCAGCTGATGAAGTAAGTGCCTCACAGATACCAGATGCTAGGGAGGGGTTAGTGATGGTAGCCCTCCAGCATTCTTCCAGGGTCCCCATCTATTCTCTCTTGAAGGACAGAGGCAGGACTGTGTGCCACCTGGCCTGCCATGTCCCCCATGAGGAAGCTTACAGTCCAAAGGAAATTCTACTACTTGTCTAATTCACTTTTGTACATGGAATAGAGGGAGGTACCATCTTGATCGTTGACTTAGGCAGAAAAGGTCAGGAGCAGACCCACTAGACCAGTGGTCCCCAACCTTCAGATGTTCTTGGACACCACTCTCAGAAGCCTTCATCACCACCTCTGCTGGCCAGGATTTCTGGGAGTTGAAGTCCAAGAACATCTGGAGGCCCAAGGTTGTGGACCTCTGCACTAGATGATTGATTGATTAAGTTTGATACAGTATACTGCATCCGCTAGTGCCACAACACTACTACCGTGGAGCATCTAATATACAGTGGTGCCTCGCTTTACGATTGCCCCACATTATGACAAATCCACTTTATGACGATCTTTTTGCGATCACAATTGCCATCACAAAATGATGGCCTGAATGGGGGAATTTTGCTTTGCGATGATCAGTTCCCTGCTTCGGGAACCGATTCTTCGCAAAACAATGACATTTCAACAGCTGATTGGCGGTTTCAAAATGGCCACAGGGTAAATAAAATGGCTCCTCTGTGTTTAGGGACGGATTCCTCGCCATACAGGCAGCGAAAATGGCCGCCGTATGGAGGATCTTCGCTGGACGGTGAGTTTTAAGCCCATTGGAACGCATTGAAAGGTTTTCAATGCTTTTCAATGGGCTTTTTATTTTCACTTTATGATGTTTCGCTTAACGGTGATTTTCCTGGAACGGATTATCGCCGTTAAGTGAGGCACCACTGTAATTCATACATGACTTTATCATCCTGGCAGTTCTGCTTCACACAGCCTGCCCTGATTTCCAGTCACCCTCTTAGTGACTGAGCTCTGGGCACACACAGAGGCATCATTTACTGAGCCCAGGAAATGGACAGAACTATGTGAATTCGTTCTGGCAGGAATGGTGCCCTTACCAAGGGAGGCCATGTTCTCAGAATTCTCCTGCATGACATTGTAATATAACATCCGCTGATCCTTATCTAGAAGTTCCCATTCCTCTTGCGTGAAACATACAGCCACATCACGGAAAGCCAAAGGCCACTAGAAGATAATACACAGAGAAAACAGGAGGAAAGAAAAAGCAAATTAATACAGGCATTTCAGCTGTCTTTCCTGCAGGAAATAACTAATCAAAACAGAAATATTTATGCTTTGTGTAGTTTGGATGTTCCCTCTGACTTGTGTGGAACTAGCTGTGGGCTTGCAGCCATGAATTAACATCTGAAAGCACATTTATTTCTGTGTTTGGCAGGCAATACCAAAATGTGTGCTAGAAGAAACCCCTTTCGTGAAAATGTCTTAGGGCTGCAAGTTTAAACTGATTGCTTCACTCTCTCTCTCTCTTTCCCACACACGCACACACACACACACACTTTGATTTACAGAATCATAGAGCTGGAAGGGGCCCATAAGGTAATGAAGTCCAATCTCCTGCTCAGAAGAATTCAAATCAAAGCAGATCTGACAGATAGTTGTGTAATTTTCTCTAGAATACCTCTAACATTGGAGAGCTCACTACCTCCTGAGGTAATTTGTTCCATTGTTGTACTGCTCTAACAGTTAAGAAGTTTTTCCTTATATTCAGTTGAAGTCTAGCTTCCTGTAACATGAGCCCATTATTATGTGTCCTGCACAAGAACAGATCCTGTCCCTCCTCTGTATTACTACCTTTCAAGAATTTGAAAAGTGCTATCATATCTTCCCTCAGTCTTCTCAAGGCTAAACTTGCCCATTCTTTCAATCTTTCCTCACAGGGCTTGGTTTCCAGTCCCCTAGTTATCTTCAATCTTTCCTAAACTCCCTCTGGTTTGTTGGCACCCTTCTTAAAGTGTGATGTCCAGAACTGGACACAGTACTATAGTTGAGGCCTAATCTATGCTGAATACAGGGGAACTAGTACCTCACTGTACTGTATGTTGATAAAATACAATAAATATTCACTATACCTCTAGACTTAAGGGGACAGTGGGCTGTTAGATCACCATGCCCGAAAATGTACCTCTGTCTCTTCACAATGGCCTTCAAAGAAAAGACTGGCCTTCCTTAGAGAGGTGGGAGCAGTTCCCAGCAGAGCTGCTACACTTTAGCTTTTTCTTTCTTCTTCTGTGTGCCATGACAGTGCAAGAGGTTGTAGGCCAAGAGGGAGAAACTCTTTCAACTTGAGAGTTGAATTCAATCTCAAAGAGGTTCTCAGGGGCTGTATTCCAACAGTGGACACAGAAAAGGCAAAAAGGTGAGATTTAAAATACGAATATTTTAGGTGACCGCTCCTACTGCCGATCCTAGTCGCACTGGCCACGTGACCACGGAAACTGTCTTCGGACAAACGCTGGCTCTAATGGCTTGGAAATGGGGGATGAGCACCGTGCCCTAGAGTCGGACATGACTGGACTAAATGTCAAGGGGAACCTTTACCTACCTAGTGCCAGTCACCAAAGAGAAGCATTTCAGCCTGTTGGAATAAGGAAATAACTTGCAGATGAAAAACCATCTCAGCTGGGAAAGCATCAATCTATGATGTCCTGGGGAAAGAGGTTTGGCCATGTGGGACACCCCAAAGGACCTGCAGGGGGATCTTAGGAGGGCCAGTTGCAAGCTTAAGGCTTGCAGTCCCCCACTCCTGCTCTATACCCTACCTATAGGGTTGCTCGGTCAGTGTTGGGGGGGGGTTTCCAATAAGTCATCTCTTTTGTGCCAGCATTTACTGTATCTTCCTTAGTATCCAAAGATGCCAGCACAGATCATGCCAATAATCAGGATCTCCATTGCTCAGGGTTGTTAGAATCATACCTGATGCCTCAGGTAGGCCTCAGCCAGCTGAACTGCCTCCTTGCTGCTGCTGGGTTTTTTGGCTCTTACCCAGGCCTGCATTCCCAAAGGCAAGACATGCAGAAATTGCTCCAAGACCACCAGGTCCACAATCTGCTGCTTGGTCCGAACGTGGGGTTGTAGCCATCCCTGGGCTGCCTCTCCAAGGCGAAGCAGAGTCTGCCAGGGTGTTTCTCCCAAAGGAACGGTATCCACACGAAAGCACTGCCTACTCCTTTCTTCATGGTCTTCAAACAGGGTTATAAGATCCATGTTGATGGCAGTGGAGGTGCCAAGTTGTTCCTTCTTTATGGGGTGAAAGGATTCTGGGGTTTTCCTGGAGGTTGGGGAAACCCATTCCATAGTAGACCAGACATGAAATAGATCCAGTGGGTCAAAATATGCCGTTTTTTCTGCTGTATCCTTTGCAAGACGAGACTTCGGGGGACCCATTCTTTAAGGAACGCTCACTAACCTGTGTCAGGAGAAAAATATGCAGGCAAGTAAGCAAATACAACTCATTTGCTTGGGCACAAGCCATGACAGAAATGAAAGCTAAAATAAATACAGAATAAAATTTAAGAACAATACAGACAGGCTGGCAAGAACTAGCATCACAAAAACAGGACAATGTTTGTTATTATCCTGTTTTCTCTTAATCTATGATGCAGTGGGAAATATTTATTTTATTTAGAATATTTTTACCTCACCTTTCTCCTTAAAAGGGACCCAAGACAGCTTACATTATTAAAAGACAATATTTATAACCTAAACATAGCAAATACACTATTTTTTCAAAATCAAACAAATGCTACACTAAAAACAGTAAACAAAATCAACACCAAAACCACATTCAAAAAACAAGAAGGTACAACAATCCATTTGTATGAAAGACAACCCTTTTATATACACTCCATGACAAGTCCAATCAAACCCTGTTTTTTGGTTATAGATCTAACAACATGAGAGGGGGGAAATCCTATGAAATCACCATAACATTCAGTCTAGTTCATTCTCAACTTTACAGTCTGCTTCCCCTGCCTGCCTGCATTCATTCATTCATCCAGCCAGCCATTCATTCATTCAACAGAGACCCAAGGCGCCTCATAAAATGGTGAAAAAAACAGATACCAAGATTTGCATTGCTAGCTATCTGTCATTTTGCTCCGGGCTCCTGTAATACTTCCACTGCTATGGGAAGCAAAAAGATCATCTGCCATGGGAAGAAAGTCATTCTGTATATTGGATGACAGATCATTTGTTGGTTTTCTACTTTTCACTGTAACACCTGGGGAAAAGCCCTGAAGTCCTTCTGGAGAATGTCATGATGGACACAGCATGCAAAGAGAAAAACCTTTACTGCTGTGAATATGGTATAGTATTTTGAAATGCCAAGGCTGTACAACATACAGGTTTGGAGGATTAACCATCCATACTATGAACACAACAAATCCATCCATCTTGGACTTTTTTTTTTGGTCTGTTATGGGATGCTTTATGTGATTTCTTGATGATGGGGGGGGGGGCCTGTTTTGGGTTTAGTACATTATTGTCAACCACCCAAACGAGAGCCTTGCACTAATTGGGTGGTATACAAATGAGCAAAATTAACCAACTAAATCAATAAATGCATGCGTAACTCCCTGGCCACACTGGGGGAAAAAGCCTTTGAAGCTGTAATAACAAAATATTTACACTTTCTTTTAAATAAGTATTTTTTTTTCTCTCTCTCTCTAGCAGTAGTAACCAAAAAAAGGAAAGGAAACCATATGCATAAATACACGCAGCGACCATTGATTATTGAGAGAAGGTAGTATCACTAAAATATTTTCCTGTCTTTCCACGCTAAAAAGGTAAGAGCAATCCGATGAATATGATAATGGTCATCCTCACTCTCCAGTTATGTTTTGCTTCTCCCTCCCGTCACCACCACCCCCTCCCTTCCTCCTCTTCTTCCAGTAGCAAGACTTCTGCTGAACTGAGGCTCAGCATAAAGCTGAATTTAAGGGGCGAGGATCCCCAGATGGGGATCAAAGGATGCTCCTGCTCTCTCTGCCTTACCCAGCCAGCTCCAGTCTTGGGCTTGGAAAAGCGGGTCCAGGACGGAGGTCCGTCTTGCTGCTGGAAGCATGAATTGCTCCGGAGGCTGCCTGAAGAAAAGCACAGGGGAAGAAGGAGACCACCTTTCTTTTATTGGGAGGGAAATCCAAAGTGAGGCATAGATTTCTCTCTTTCCCAAGCCTCCCGGCTATATTTCGGGGCCGGGGGGCTGAAGACGCAGAACCGGAGATCCCTGTTTAACCCGGAAAATAAAGCGGACCAAAAAAAGCCACCCTCACCACGTGCTATTCCGAGCAAAACCGAGCAAGACGGCGGCTTCCTCTGGTCCTACCAAAAAAATACCTCAGAGTCCTCTAGTGGCCAAATCCGTAAACTCTTTTGCCAGACATCCTTTGGATCTTAAGTCAGTTCTTTCTTGCCTGAACCAAAGCTCTGAGAAGTTACTTTTTTCGGATAGCACCTCTCAGCTGGAGAAGGAGCCACACAGTGCTGTGTCCCATATGTCGCGGATATATAGGGAAAGGGGGAAACCTAGGGCTGTTCACTACAGTTTCCAAAAAAGAAGCTATGTCAGTTTGCCTCAGCATGTTGGCAAAAAACAGAGGGGAAAAGGAAAGGAAAGGCAAAAAGATCAGGGATGTTGGCAAGCCTTTGGGTCCAAATCCCAAGTCTGAGTCCTGATTAAAAACAAGCTTCCCCCCCCCCCCAGAAAAAAAGGGAGAGAGGGATGGGTGGCTTCAGAGCCCCAAATCGGGTCTGATTCACTGGGGAAAAAACAACCTGAGAAGAGACACAGGTGTAACAAGACTGACTTGACAGTAAGCCCTTGTGACTTGAGTTCCCCATCCCTGCAAAAATATTGTAGCACCTTGTTGTTGTTTAGTTGTTAAGTCGTGTCCGGCTCTCCGTGAACCCCATGGACCAGAGCACGCAGGCCTTCCTGTATTCCACTGCATCCCGGAGTTCGGTCAGATTCATGTTGTAGCACCTTAAGGTCCAACAAATTTGTTTCAGCACAGTGTTGGTGGATCAAAATCCATTTCTTCAGACCCGGGGAGTGCAAATACATGTCCTCTATATTTTATTTCATGGTAATGACATCCATGAACAGGTAAGGATACATATAACAGGCAAAATGGCAATGGTTTATTAACACAGGAATGGCAATATTGAGCAGTCACTTAGTAAATCAGAGCATAATGCACTAGGTAGACTTAGATGTCATAGGAATGCTGAGACAACAATTTTATACCCATGATGAGATACTACAGAAAGCTGGGTTGTTAGGATAAATAGTGCTGAAGCAGCCTTGGTCTTGATTTAGGCCCTTAGAGATGCACTGGAATGCGTTTACGTAATTATTCTTTGCTGTCTTCCTCTCAAGTGTCCCTTCATCATTCTTTTTTCTCTATAACAGCCACTTTTCAGATCCATAGTAGAGTGTCCTGGGAGGCTGAAGTATTCTCAGGCAGGGTTCCCATGTTCCAACTAATGGGCTCAGATTTGTGTCCCCTGCTTTTTTCTTTTTAGTTTAGACGTTGTTCTGTTTGGCCGGTGTAGAAGGCAAAGGGGCACTGCTGGCAGAAGATGGCACAAATCCCAGGGAAGTGGACTTCTCCATGTCTGGCAGAAGATGGCACAAATCCCAGGGAAATGGACTTCTCCATGAAAACTCGTATTAAAATATAACAGCCTTTAAGGTGCAACAACATTTTTGTCTTCTTCTTTTTGCCCAAATCCCATTGGAAGATGAACAAGTACAGGTGTCCCCGATGTTGTAGCTGACATTGTTGGAATTCTTGATGGTGCTGCCAGTATGAATATGGGAACCTGACTGGCATCTAGGGTCATGATGGGGTCTCTGCCTCCATGCTTTATCACATGCTGTGTATCAGTGCTTATTTAAGGTTGAGCTTTTTCAACTATCTATCTATCTATCTATCGATCGATCGATCGATCGATCGATCGATCGATCGATCGATCGATCGATCGATCGATCGATCGATCGATCGATCGATCGATCGATCGATCGATCGATCGATCGATCGATCGATCGATCGATCGATCGATCGATCGATCGATCGATCGATCGATCGATCGATCGATCGATCGATCGATCGATCGATCGATCGATCGATCGATCGATCGATCGATCGATCGATCGATCGATCGATCGATCGATCGATCGATCGATCGATCGATCGATCGATCGATCGATCGATCGATCGATCGATCGATCGAGAGGATGAGATGGTTGGACAGTGTCATCGAAGCTACCAACGTGAATTTGACCCAGCTCCGGGAGGCAGTGGAAGACAGGAGGGCCTAGCGTGCTCTGGTCCATGGGATCATGAAGAGTCGGACACGACTTAATGACTAAACAACAACATGTTTGTTTCAATTTTGTCTGCATATTTGTGAATATGTTTGTCTTTAGCAGGAGGCGAACCCTGAGTTTGCACGGGAAGGAGAGTCGGAGGCGGCTGTGAATGTTTAACATGATTCGTTTTATTGTCTAACAAATTCAATTCAACTGTTTCAAAGGAGTCCAATAAACTCAATTCTGGTAAGATCCTATAACTGCGTACTTTTACATCTGGCGTCCTCAAATCACTTCTCACAGAGGGGCCGGTCCAAACCGTTCCCGATTGATCATAGGTCTCAGGGGGGTGCTCCTCACGGCAGAAACTGTCCCACAGCATGGGTGTCTCGCCCAGTCCCCCTCGCACTGTGGACGGAGTAAAGAGGGACTGGGACGGATCACCCTCCCTCCCCCACGCTGATTGCGAGGGTACACCACCACAGACCATTCCAGCGGTTCTAGATAACTCTCCTTTGCATGTAAACCCCTTGGGTCTGGCAACAAACCTCCTCCAATCTGTAGGTTTGGAAAGTCTTTCATCAGATCCGTAGCGCCTTCTTGCCCGAAAGCTAACTCTGTCTGCACTCCTCGACTCTTTCTCTCCGGTTGTCCTCAGTATATTAGGATTCTGCAAGTTCGCACGCTCTCCTCCTCCTCCTTTATAACCTCCTCCCAAACAATCAAGTCCAGCTCCTCCCCCCCCTCGTCAGCCAGACACACCTCTAGTGACTCTTCACATTCCACCTCCTCCTGTCCTATCTCCACCAGTATTCCCTCCACGCAGCCACCGCTTTCCTCAAGGGTTTGCTCAGTAGAGGACGGCACACTGGCCTTCTCTCCTTCACAATATTTATCTTACTTTCTTGGAAGCCACCCAGAGTAGTGCCCAGTTTAAATAAATTAATAAAGCCACGCCATTCAGTAGGCTTTTTTCTGATGGTGATTGATTTTAATGAAATTCTCTTTTGTGCCTTTTCGGCCATTGAATAGGGTGGGGGTGGAAAAAAGCTATAAGCACATGAGTTGTATATTGTTAGTATGTCCTTGAACTTCTGGTTTGTTTTTTTCTTTACAATAGAACAGCCATCTAATAAGTCTCATCAGCAGGCCCTACATCAGCACTATTCTCCCTGATGGTCAAATAGGAGGGCAAAGAAGACCCAGCCTATGGGACAAGAAGAGGTAGTAACACTCAACACATCCTTTGTCCCTCTGAGGGTGGAATGCTGAACTTGGTATTTGGAATATTCTGTCTTCCATTTTGATCTACTGCCTTCCATTTTGTTTGACTTCGGAAAGCGGTTTCTGTTTTCTCACAGTTGGAGATGGAACCAAGGATGGTCAAGCTGCTCTAATGAGGTTTTGAAAAAGCAAAGTGACCCAGTGGGACAACAGATGTGCTTATCAGATGCTGCCTACAAGCTTGTTTATACTTTAGTGATACATACCTGAGCTTATCATGGTGGGACACTGAGCAGGGAGTAGCCTGTATCATTCTTCAAAGTATAATGCAGTAATGATATATTGCCCAGCTGCAACTTGTTAGTGTAATCACCAAAAATGTTTAAAGGTTGCTTGATCCACCCAACACAGGTTCAGACTTCTTGTGCTGACTTCTAAGCTGTCATCCATTCCAGCTACAAGTATTGAGTGCCTGTATATGTTAGTCAACAAACTTGTCTCCGTGTGAGCAGGCCTGAAGCTTGCCTGTCATTTCTTTGGGATCTTCTCAAAACCTGCTCCCACTGCTGGGACACGATACAGGAGTATACTATGGAAGGATGGTTGCGGCAGAACAGGAAGAGAAGTGTGAACTTGGTGGAGCTTGGGTGGAGAGGATAGTAATAATAAATATTATCAGCATGTATTGGGAACAATGGAATCCTGGAGATTCAACAATTGTGCCACTAATGAGTAGCATGCAAGCAACTTTACTGAATGCAAACACATGGAAAATGCAGTTTGCACTCACCCACTTTTTTCATGCAGTCAAGGAATGGAGATAAATTATATTTGTGACCTTTGTTCACCACTTCATAAATTTGTCATGTAACAAATCAGCTATATTCAACTGTGCTCTGCTGTCTTTGTCTTTGGAGACTCTTTGTCCAAAATCCTGTTGTGTGGCTCTGCCTCTGCACTGAGACTGATGTGATAAATTACTCCTTTTTTCAATTTTGGGGTCCGCATAGCTTACACAAAATGAGACAAAGTCACATGCATCCTGAAATTGAAAAAGCAAATATTTAATCAGCAGAAATCAGCCATTGATTATGATGTCATTACCATTGCTGAGGCAGAACCCACCCAACAGGATTCTGGCTTTCATTTAGAAATATTTGTTATATGAAAACTGGAATCCCTTACAAACTCATCTTGAAAACCATAATGTGAAAGGAATTTTGAAAAGTGATACAACCAAGATTTTTCTAAATTTCTAGCCTGTCATTGAGGCTATCAGTGTTAGAAATCTAGCATTGCTCATTTGAACTAACTTACTCCAATAATTACATTCTGTATCCAGAATGACTCGGAACTGAAAGCAGTGCCTTTCCAAATTCAGCTCTCATTATCTGAGCTAGGGAGGCTCAGATAATGTAAGAATTAGTTACATACCCTTTCAGTTTTCTTATTACTGGCAAACCCCCAAATTTCTGTTCCAAAAGCAAACATAACCCAATACACACTAGCTGGAATTAGTCTAGATACATATAATTTACTAGCACATTCAAAGTCTGAACACAGACAGATGCTGTGAAGATCATATTCTCACAGATAAAAAAAATACACCTCAATAATTATAGCATCTCATATGTTCTATTTTTTCATATCTAAGGATTACCTACGCTCTCCCTCTCTTGCCAAAGATCACTGCTT